TATTTGCATATTTAATGTTGTAGAACAAAACAAAACTTCTACAGCTGGTGTTAACAGCTGACCTTTTTTCAGGCATCAAGCCTAAAAACTTTTGAATTCCAAACCCGTAATTGGACTAATTCCTGCTGTATCTGCATAACATTTTAAGGTCTGACCCTGAAGGTCATTGTTACTGTGGCAAAATATTGTGGTGAATTACATTGCTAGGGTAAAATGACAAGAATGCCTAAACAAAGATGGAAGGAATGTAAATAAGGGCGACATGTGTGTATGTTAAAAATGTCAAACTACGGTTCATCCAGCATGCACACATACAGACTGCAGAAGGTATAGGAACTTATTTTATGGTCACAAAATACCAGCAGGGAGGCATCTGATCGGCTCCAGATTCGTTCTGCAGCCTGACAACGACACCAAACTCACAGCCAGAGTCATAAAGATCTATCTTCAGCCACACGAAGAACAACTCATCCTGCAACAGATGGTGTGGCCGCCACAGTCCAGCCACTCTGGTCTGGGATTACATCAGTGGATCTCAAACTGTGGGGCAGAAAACCAGGTGAAAATTATGGCAAGAAACTAGATCTAATATTTTTGTTAGGGAAAATAACCAAACAAGAATTAATTGATGAAAATTGTGTGAACTTGGCTTCTGAAGTGTGGCCTGTCTGAAGACATTAAGAGAACAAATCCATGAAACAACATCTGCCCATCAGAAAGTTCCCATATATAAGCAAAATCCTTGGAGTAAAGATTTGGAATCTGAAATCTAAGCAAAGGACTGTCAGCTTGTCCAGACTAACACAGTAATAACTGGTTAATGTGTACATATGTAATCTGTGCACCATTACACTGTTAAATAAAAATACACCAGACATTTGTGCAGTTTATCCAGAGGATTTTCTCAGTTTGTTCTGTGTTCGACAGAAAGATTAGAACACTTTCAAGAAAAGATCAGAGTGATGTGAGAAAATTATCACAAGGCTGAAACCTGTTTCTTCTTGGTTCTATAATTCTCGTAAAAATGACAAAACACAAAGAACATCAGGCTTTTAAATGCCAAAGGGCTCAATTCATATGAAATCAGTCGGTCTGCACTGGATACTACCGCCTAGATTATTTCCTTAGACAAAAATTTATATATATTGATGAAAGGGCCTGGGAAGCCTTTTTCTGAGATTGTAAAGAATTTGGATTATTATAGGAGGGTCAGTATGAACAGCTGTTTAATGTAAACCACAAAGTATTTAGTTAGTTATAGCTTCTAAACTCATAACAAAGCCAGCTGTGTTCACACCAAATATCCACTTGATTTAGTATTTTCAAGAGAGGTCAACTGCAAAATAAGTGTATTTTTTGTGTGTGCTTGCTTTACTTTTAGTGCACAAAACATTTGCACTAATAAAAAAATAAAAATAGCTGCCATTTAGCTGCAGGAAGGAAAAAAACAGTTTTTTTATTTAAGTCTCCCAGATGTTTTAGGGACCAGTGAAGACATATGGAGATTTCCTCACTTTCTTTGTGTATGTGAGTGAGCGAGTGTGTGTGTGGTTTGTCTATGATCCATGTAACAGGCTGATTAGGATTTTATGAGGTCAGAGGCCAACAGGAGTGAGAAAAAGTGACCTTCTCACCTCGGGGTCATACTCAGGAGAACACCGTCACAAACTGTCTCCTCCACGTGAATTTATGCCATCAGTAGCCCTCACCATTTTTCTCCTTTTCTTTTTTCTATTTAGCAGAATGCAGCAGGTTTCTACATCAGCTCCAGTAACAAACAAATGGTTCTCTTTAGTGTTAGAAAGATTTTAGGTCAATAGGACCTCACCTGTAGGAGTGAGCACATGGTTAGTTTTTTTTGTTTTTTTTTGTTTTTTTAAGCTGAGAGCTCAACTCAGGGCCACATTACTGTGTCATCTTTCAGCACCGAAGTTTGATTTTCTGCAGGTAGCTATTACTGATAATCACAGGTGGGCACTATGCTTACTCAAATCCCATCCTTATGTACAATTATGAGTTTTAGGTTGTAATGTTATGAAATGTGCAAAATTACCAGTTTCCATGAAATTTGAGGAGAGGTATAAAAAAAAGAACCTTTACTATTTTGGTGCCGACCTGGATTACTTTATTTAAAAATGGCCTTGGTGGAGGTCTGCGCTTTCTAAGTGCCCTTCTGATATTTACTTATTCTTACTTTTCACTAAAATTTGGAGGCCAGTGTGCTCCTGTTCAAACTTTTAAATAACAATGTCAGTATCTGTTCATGTAATCCAAAAGTTCAGGCATCAGACTGCTATAAACATTGAGTTTGTACTTTTTTTTTTAGTTCTTGGCTATATATGACATCAGAAATAGACAATAATGAACTGAGGGGCTTCCTTAAGGTTCAGTTGGAAAAATAAAACTGGATTACGTTGTTTTATGAATCATGCAAAGCTACTTAAGTGGAGTACAAGAATAAAAATATGTAGCTATGTCCACTTTAAAGTGTCTCCTTGCTGTATCTCTTTCCATCTCTTTGCTTTTATTTCACATGTTTGTCCTCTGGGGTCTCCATTTTCTAATATCTAACCCTTTAATCTCTAAGGGGAGTGGAGATAAAAACATCTTGCATTGGAGGATGACATGACGGGCAACATCAAGGCCCAGTAGACGATGAATAAAGAACTTGATGATGCAAAGCTAGTCCAGTCTAAGCGTGGAGTGTTTAGAAATTATAAAGATGATTGTAGCCACTGTGACGTCAAACTTTTCCTGTTAAGTCCAGAGATGAGTATGTCAGCCACCACAAAATGCTTTGAAAAAGGAAGGGATGGATTGAACTAGAAATCGAGCAACGCTCCACTCTCATACAGTAGCAAATTGTCAATCAAAGGGTAAACCAGACCCTGATTTATCTTTCTTTTAAACTCTAATGGGTGCTGTTTACAAAATTAAAATCAGGTTTTATTCAGTAACACAGGAAACTAGTGACTGAGACCATAAAGTCATCAGGAAAGGTTTTATTAAGGTCATAAATAAAGGGAGCTGAGGGCTGATTTGACATAGACCTCAAGTCTTTTTGCAACCACAGGTATTGATCGGAGCCTAAAGGCCAGTCTGAGTGAATTCAAATGTTTGTTTTTTCCAAGGATTTTATACACAAAGCTGATCATTGACTTCTAAAATATTAAAGTACAGCTCAAACTCCTTAACCCACTCTCTATTAAACTAATAATGAAACTCATTCACATTTGGGGGGGTTGGTGTACTTTTGTACTTTAGGGAAAGTATGAATACAAGACTTGTAATTTTAATCGTGTATTTTTATAGTATGATGTTGTAATTGGTCACAACTGCTGTACAATGAAGTCAACTCTAAGTTGAAAATCTGAGCTCTGTGTCTTCCTGACTTCCACTCAAAGAGCTGCGCATTCTGTCTGTGCTGTATTCTCCAGTTTTATGATATAATCCTATTTACTCTTTCGCTCTTTGTTTTCTCTTCCTCTCTTTCTCTCTCTCCTTCCTAAGTTGAACCCACTGAACTCCCTCCCCACCGCACCCTCTTTCCCCACTCACTTCCTGTTTAGAGGAACAATTAAAGGATTGTTCCTGCAGCTCGAGGCAGCAGGGCCCTGATCTAGAGCAGCCGCCACTTTAGCTAGAAAGAACCACAAAAAGCATCAGTTATGAGACCTCCTCGAAGGACAGTGTCTTCTCATATTTCTACTCGCAGTAAAATAGCAAGAGCAAAATGGCAAACCCACACAACCTATTGTAAACGTGAAGTCTTATTTGATGAAACATTTGAATGAGTAATCTATTATCTAATGATATCAGTACTGGTGGAGGAGGATATGCGTACATGTGGGAGGTTTGCCCAAAGGAAAATCTGATAAAAAGTCGGACATAAATCGTGAGTCTGGTGTTGGAAATTTTGACATGGAGCAGAAATTAGTAATAGGAATTTTAATTTGTTCTTACACTCACATAAGGTCAAAAATTGGAACATTTTTACAGTTATTTTTCCAGGGCCTAATAAATATTAACTTGAGCTGAAAAACAATTTGTTGTCAATGTGTCCACTTGTTAATTTCTAATGTTTTTAACTTGATTAAAACTTCCAATTACTTCAAATACAACATTTTATACATTTTCCTTCTTGTAAGATAATGCTGACATTACCTCATAGCTTTGCCAAACCATCCTTTGACAAAGAGCCTTGGTGAGGTAGAAAATTAAAAGATTTTGGGCATAGATTTAGTTTGAATATGAGGTGACACCTTTAACACCAGACCGGATCTCCTAGCCAGGAAATTTTGAGCATCAGAGACTTTAATGCCTTTTAGCGCACCAGTTTCTGCATTAGTTTTTAGTAGAAAAGTCAAAAGCAGGCTCCACAGTTTGACGTGTACTGGAATATAACACACTAAAGCCTTCAGTCAGTCTGTATCACTTCCAAATGTTAATTAACCTCAGATTTTCAAGACAAGTATAGATATGATTTAATCTACTGTTCTCCTCCGTGTGAGTCAGAGTGGGACAAGTCAGTTCAGTTCCCTCTGACTGATATCAGGCTGCTTTGTTTAAAACTTTCCACACAATTATAAAAAAAACCCTCATATATTCATCTTTTCGTGATGTTTAGGAACCATGCATATAAGTGACTAGGCAACTTTTCTGAAGAGTATCTAGAAAATTAGCATTTCAAAACTAAAATAAATTGCTTGTTTTTGCAACAGTTGGAGAAAAAAACATATTATCTGACCACCTTCTCTTGTTTCAATCATGTTTATCAACCTGCCAGCATGTACTCGCATCTACCAGAGGAGAAATCTGTGTTTTTATTATCTCATAATTGATATTTTGGGAACATGCTTCTTTTGTGTTTTTATTAAAGCATTAAAGGCATTTGTGTTTAATTCTTGTGGGAAGGACTTTTCCCCTGTGTCATCCTGTGAACTCAACACCTGTGCATCAAACAACGTTGATGGAATAAAAGTATCCTTCCTCTCTCGCAGGCAGAGCGACGGGCCTACCGGGAGGCAGAGATAAACATGATGGATGACCTCTCAGAAGCTGACTTTCAGAAAGAGGAGGAGCCCGCCAGCCCTGCCCCTCCCCCTTCACAACAACACACAGACCCTGCCTCTCCGACGGTCGCTGTGACACCCGAGCCGGTCGCCAGGGGAGAACAGGCCACGCCCAGTGAGATTGAATACCAGGTGAGAGATTCTGGCTGTCATTTTTGGTCCAACCCCATACATCCTCCGGGCTCGAGGCTCAGATTCACGCTCGCTGAACCAACTTGTATTTCTTACTTCAGACTTCACCAGATGCACTGCAGTGTATTTTAGAAAAGCCCAAAAGGTGGATCTAATAATACTCTGTTGCAGACCAGACACCACTAGTGTGTCACTCCTTTTATGCTTCTTTGAGGTCCAGATGAAGGGTGCATGCAGAGTTGGTCCATTGTAATAAAAAGCCTTGTGCTTGTTTGATGACAGTGAACACTAGCAGCCTTTTGGGCATAAAACTATAACATGCTTATTACTGAGCACTTAAAGAACCTTTACTACATTCAACCATGTACTAAAGATGCTTTCACCCAGTCACACTCATTCCTACAGCTTTTTTTCTATGACTTAAACCTCTTTTTCCCTCCATACAACAAGCCTGGCCCCACCTTCACACTCTGTGAATTTCTGACGCCTTTTTTTGGAGGGCTTTAAAATTGAGTTAAACTTCAGACAGTAGGTCTGAAAATCACATATGATATGTGTTACAAATGTATATTTAAATGCTGTAGTGAGATTTTTTTCAATTACAGAGCATAGTAACACTAAAGTGTCAGTGTTCTTCCTTTGTTTTAGAGGCAGAGATAATTAGGGGTATAATTCTGTGGCAGTGACACATGCATGTATCAACAGCTGTCTGCATCTGTTCACTGATTAGTTCACTGTGTAGTGAATAATTTACAGTGGGTAGAAAGTGATTGAGTGGTCAGTTTAAAACATCTGAGTTTGTTCTTCAATTTAAGAGCCGGAGCTCACAGAATAAATCTCACCAAAACTTTAATTTCAAACTTTAATTTTATTCTCTCACCTTTTAAACCAGCATGATCGGAATTACTTAAAATGATAAAACAGTATTGAACATCTCCATTTTCATGAAAACTTGGGATGCTAAATTCATTTAGGACGACCATGTACAATATGTGATGTTGATATAGTTGAAAGCTCCGGGAGTGTCACTGTGACTCATCTCCGGTCTGGCTGGGAACATTTGTTGCTTCTCCTCCTCCCTCTCTGTCATTTTCTGTCATCAGTTTACTGGTGATGTGAAATAATAGTGTTTATTTTGAATGGCTCTGCTTCAGAGTATCCATTCTCTGAAAGCCACAATTTAAACAGTGTTAATTATATCAAAGCACATATATTTTATATTAAATGTTGTCAATCATCAGGTTCTTTCGATTGGATGAAAAGTCAAGCTGAGAACTGGTTTTCTCAGTTGTTGAAAACAAAGTGTGGCTTATGGATGATATCTGGTGGTGTTAACAAAGGTGTGCCACAGGGTTTTATTCTAGGACCACTTTTATTCACATTTAACAATTAGCTTAGGAGTAAAGGTCAGAAACAGTAAAATTCACCTGTACACGGTCAATGCTATTTTACACACAACAGTGCCCTCTGATGACAGGCACGCCATAACATGCATGTTAGTTTAAATGTGTACATGTATATGCATATTAATCCCTCGGGTGGGTTCCTCTGGGAAATTCGATTTCCAAAAAGCACAGCACCGACAGAAGTTACAGTTACAGAATATTATATATATGTATATATATATATATATATATATATATATATATATATGTACACACACACACACACATACACACACATATATAAATACAGAGACAAATATAAATAAAATATACGAAGGGGATAAATAGAATAAATAGGAATAAAAATAAAAATACAAGTGAATTGCACATTTCAAGTATTGAGGTCTATTGCACCATTGACTATTTACAAAAAGTATTGCACAAGGTATTGTACAGTGAGGTGAAGAGGCACTACAGCTTAGTTGTTCCCCCCTCCTTTGTCCTCCTGTCTCCCCTCCCTCTCCCCTCCAGAGAGGAGTTAAACAGTTTGATGGCGTGTGGGACAAAGGAGTTTTTAAGTCTGTTAGTTCTTGTCTTGGGCAGAAGCAACCTGTCACTGAACAGACTCTCCTGGTTGTTAATGGCCGTGTGCAGAGGATGCCCAGCATTGTTCATAATGTCCAGCAGCTTTTTTAGTGTCCTTTTCTCTGCCACTGTCACCAGAGTGTCCAGCTTCATGCCGACCACAGAGCTAGCCTTCCTGATCAGCTGTGCAAAGAAGGACTCCTGCATATGTATATGACTCATACATATGTATATATATATATATATATATATATATATATATATATATATATATATATATATATATATATATATCCTTATATATCTGGCAGCACAAATGAACCAGCTACTAGTTAACGAAAGACACCCGGAATGGCTAACCGAAGGCCGGACGGTCCTGATCCCCAAGGACCCCAAGAAGGGACCGGTCCCCTCCAACTACCGACCAATAACCTGCCTCAGTACTACATGGAAGCTCCTGTCAGGCATCATATCGGCTAAGATGAACAGGCACATGGGTCAATACATGAGCGGGACACAGAAAGGAATTGGCAAGAATACCAGAGGTGCAAAACACCAGCTACTGGTAGACAGAACAATCAGCCGAGACTGCAAGACCAGACTGACCAACCTGTGCACTGCCTGGATTGATTACAAGAAGGCCTATGACTCAATGCCCCACAGCTGGATACTGGAATGCCTAGAATTGTACAAGATCAATGGGACCCTAAGAGCCTTCATCAGGAACTCAATGGGGATGTGGCGTACAACACTAGAGGCCAACTCCAAGCCCATAGCACAAGTTACCATCAAGTGCGGGATCTACCAAGGAGATGCTCTGTCCCCACTGCTGTTCTGCATAGGCCTGAACCCCCTCAGTGAGATCATTAACAAGACTGGCTACGGATACCGACTACGGAACGGAGCAGTTGTCAGCCACCTCCTGTACATGGATGACATCAAGCTGTATGCCAAGAGTGAACGAGACATCGATTCACTGATCCACACTACCAGGCTATACAGCAATGACATTGGAATGTCGTTCGGACTGGAGAAGTGTAGTCGGATGGTAACAAAGAGAGGGAAGGTAGTCAGAACTGAGGGGATTGAACTACCAGAAGGCAACATTGCAGACATAGAGGACAGTTACAAGTACCTGGGGATCCCGCAGGCAAATGGGAACCATGAAGAGGCCGCTAGAAAGGCTGCAACCACCAAGTACCTGCAGAGGGTCAGGCAAGTCCTGAGGAGTCAGCTGAATGGTAAGAACAAGATTCGGGCCATCAACACATACATATATATATATATATATATATATGTATATATATATATAAAAACACCCAGCACGCCCCTGCGGGCGGTTTATCCTTCAAGCGCGGGTCCTCTACCAGAGGCCTGGGAGCTTGAGGGTCCTGCGCAGTATCTTAGCTGTTCCCAGGACTGCGCTCTTCTGGACAGAGATCTCCGATGTTGTTCCCGGGATCTGCTGGAGCCACTCGCCTATCTTGGGAGTCACCGCACCTAGTGCTCCGATTACCACGGGGACCACCGTTACCTTCACCCTCCACATCCTCTCAAGCTCTTCTCTGAGCCCTTGGTATTTCTCCAGCTTCTCGTGTTCCTTCTTCGGCGGAAGGGGCTACATGAATAGGATGAGGGACCTATGGATATATATATATATTTCTATATATATATCTATATATATATATATTAGGGGTGCAACGATACACAAAATTCACGGTTCGGTTCGGTTCGATACTTTGGTGTCACGGTTCCATATTTTTTCGATACAAAAAAATGTTCATGCCTTTTTAATTTGTCATTTATTAAAATTATAAATATATATTTTAACTCAAAAGTACAGTTTTTAAATTTAACCCTAACCCTTGTGCGTGTTTTTTATTTTGACAGCGAATGCGCACCTGCGGACCACTTATGTGCACCCCTGGTTATATAGCTCATCATATTGCAGCCACAGAAATTCTTTTGTCCATGAAACCATAAAGCTGCACTTTCTTTTTGCCTTATAGTCTGAGTTGTCATAACTTTTCCGTTTTGTGTTAAGCTTTTCTTTGGCTGTCACTTCTTCACCCTGACCTGTCTTATTTGGCTCAGCAGAACTGAAATATATATCCTGCTGCTTTTACACACGCAGAGGAATTGGTGCGCAAATTATCATCACTCACCAATCAGTGCTGTCGCTCTCTATACACAGTTCGCGCGATTGCAAAGTGAAAGCAAAAAACAAGCGCAAATTCAAACGCGATTTCAATATGTCACATATTGACAGTGGCTCACCGATGACAATGACATAATTACCCAGCTACATTTCCGAAAGAATGCAAAAGCATTGACATATATTTTTCCTTCCTACGATAGCCCGACGGGCAGGGAAGAAATAGATTTTGGTAGCCCGACTGGAAAAATCGCTAGCCCCGGGACGTCGGGCTAGCGATATTGCGAGCCCTGTATCTGATTGAGGAATCACTCATCTTTGGAAAAGAGAGTTTATTACAGAGAAATGGCTCTTTCCAAAATAAAAGCTATACTATACGCTTCTTCTGGGCTATATTCTCAGCAGCATATTAAACATATCAGGTCCCCATAAGGAGAATCATGTGCTAACGGCTGTCTAAATGACTCGGGTAAAGTTTGTAGCATGCGTGCTTGTTGTTTTTGTCTGCTTCCACTTGTCTTTGCACTAGGATGATGTCGGCGTAAATGTGCAGTCATATTCGTTGTGTTCCCACTAGTGCTGTTAGCGTTAATCTCGTTGAAATGACGTTAACGCCACAACACGGCAAATCTCCGTTAACGAGTTACCCCTGATCGCCCCGTGCATGGGGCTGGACGGCCAACGTGTTAACGAGCTAACTGCGCTAACACACTAGTTCCCACCCATGTAATTGAGCATTGCGTGGCACATCCAACATACTGTTTTACTTTAGTCCATGACTCGCTTACCTTCAGGGTCATACGTCACATGAAAACCAAAATAATTCCAAACGCCAGATCTGAATGAGGGTGGGGGAGGTTCAATTTGCCTGTTGCAAGGAGAGCTTAACTTCTGTCTCGCTAGCTTGCCCTGCGCTCTTCCTTCTGATGATGCTGTCTGTGTTGAGCGCTCAGTGGATCTGCGCTCGACAGTGCAGCCTAGGCGGAGTAGTCGAACGCAGATTCACTGAGCGCTCAACACAGACAGCATCGTCAGAAGGAAAGTTGATAAAATAAATTACCAATTTTGTATTGTTCGATACATATGCGTACCGAACCGAAAGCACTGTATCGAACGGTTCAATATCGATACGAATATCGTTGCACCCCTAATATATATAGTGATGACCAACTGAATATTTCTATTTGCACACCAATTTAAAGAGTGACAACTAAATACATATGTGCACACACATTTCTGGCTTGATGTAAGACTATGGTTCAAAAACCAATGTCATGAACTAAGTCTTATTTTATAGAAAGAATCCCAGTCAAGAAAACTGTCCAGTGAGTATTTTAGCTGTTACTAATTTAGACACATTCTTCTGCTTCTATTTTTAAACTCTATTGATGCAGTATAATATTTTTATTTCAGGTTCCTAACTGGGCATGGCTTTAAAACACAACTTCAAGATCAATATGAGGAAGTTTGGTGACAGTGAGAAGAGAAAAGTGTTTTATTTAAGTAGTTCTTGGCAAGCTTCCTGGGAATCTTACATTTCTTTGTTTAACTGTAGATCAATTTTACACTAGGCTCTATTTGGTCCTTGAAGATAATATTCTGCTAATACTGCAATCTGGAAACTGGCTTTTATGTACTGTGCTCTACAGAAGTGGAACAATCTGCAGAAGCTTGAAAAATTAGATACTAAGCTAATTCCTTTTAATCAATTCAAATCCGTTTTGACTGACAGAGACAAGTGTGGGTTGAGCATTGTTTTCTTTGAGTTGATGTTGATGTCCTTGACCTGTTTAGTTTCAATGTACTTGATAACTGTCTCTTGTTATTTATATACTGTTGTACATGAAATGATCCCATTTATGTTAAAACAATGAATACTGATTTTTTTAAACATCTTGAATAAATTCTATTTACTTCTGTAGACAGTTTTAGCAAGAACTAGCTAGTCATTTTTTAATAGGTTATAATCCAACAGCCAATCTTGTTGGTCTTATATGGATCCAATGAATGCAAAATCGGGCCACACTTTATACACAGAGGCCAAGTTGTAGTCATTTTGTGGCTATTTTATCAGTCATTGCTACACTGAAAAAAAGACTACAGAAGAAGCATGATTCAGTGCTTCAAGTTTTCTCAGCTTGTGATTGTTTTTGCTGACTTTACTCAGAGATAAGAGTTCAACAGCTTGAAGGTTCTTGTTCACCTAATTACAATATTACTGTAAAATTGCTTCAGTGGAATGTGTTTCTATATTTAAAAAAAACACAGAAATTCTTGTTGAGAAATGAAATAAATTTTAGTGCCAGCGACATAAAACTTTGCCTATACAACATTCAGCTGCTCTTTTATTTCCTGCCGGAGATTGATCCACATATTTCATTTGACTGAGATTTTTACACCAGAAGAAACCTACCATTTCTCAGGCCTGCGACCAGCATTAATTGCACACTAGATTGTAACACTGCTGAATGAGGTTAGGGTTATGATCCCTCCCAGTCGCAAACCAGGGACCGCTCAGTTGTTAGATTAATGCACTAACCCCTAGACTCTTGATTCCTTCGATAAAATCACAGCAACTTAAATATACTTGAAAGTGTAGTATATAAAGAAAGTTTAGAACATGACAACTACCGTAAGCTCAGAACAAATGGAAGCTCAGTGACAGCTGCAGGTAATGTTTGAAGCACTAAAGGATTACAGTGATGACACATCTTCATCTGGCCCTGTGATCAATATTAAGAAGCACACTTTTCACAGAGTGCAGGTATTCTCTTTGTTTTCACATTTGGTGAGGCCAAGATGAGTTGGTCACTTGCATACTTGCGAGAGACTCCATCTCTGAGCGTGGACAAGTAAAAGACACCCCCCGCCCCCCATTTTCCAGAGGACTTGTGATTAGATGTTTTTGTGGGTGGGAGGATGGGGGGGGGTTGTTTTTTGAGGTTGTTTTCCATCTCTGTAGGATATTTTTGCCCTTTTTTGTAGTTAGTTAGTTGAACTCTAAGACTTTGAAAAAGGAACAGAAAACAATTTCCCTCGTGGGATCAATACAGTATATCTTTCCATTAATATTAACACAACATCACACAGAAGCTCTTACCCAGGGGCCCAAGGAGTCAGGAAGCCCTGTTTAGTAATCTATATATGGCTGCAGCTCATGTTCTGTGAAACACTGATAAAATTGTTTGTATGTTGTAATTCTTTCCGCCCCCCCCCCCCACCCCAAAAAAAAATTATATTCTGTTTGATATTAAAAGGGTTTTAAAAAGCCTTTAATTTGATGAGTCTGTTGCTAAGATACTCATCATTCTTTTAAAACTAGAGGAAAGTTTACATTTTTAGTCCCTAAAGCAAAATGCTCTCTAAAAGAGCCCCTTGTAGATGCCTCATAGAAAGGAAACACGATTAAGTGCAATTTTCCTCCATTATATCTATTTTTCAGACTCTAATATTCAGTTTAGCAGCTATTTAATCAGTTAGAAATCAGTTGTTTTCTCTGTGTGTGCCAACAGGATGGTCGGGGCTTTGGCATCGGGACTCTGGTGTTTGGAAAGCTGCGAGGTTTCTCCTGGTGGCCCGGCCGGATTGTTTCCTGGTGGATGAGCGGCCGGAGTCGAGCTGCAGACGGCACTCGCTGGGTAATGTGGTTTGGTGATGGCAAATTCTCTGTGGTGAGTATCATTAGTGCTACGGCTAGACAGATCTGATGATGTAGTGCTGATGCTGATGTAGTGGTGGCTAAAAATAAAATGCACTCAAGAGAAAATGTACTAGAATTACAATTAAATTAAACTGTTGGTTAAATATAATATTATTTAAGAGCAACAGTTTTAAGGGAAATATCTATATATTAACTGGATCAGCTCTTCATCCTCTCAAGGATACTTGAAGGTGCATGGGAGTTTGCCCAACCAGTCTACATGTGTTTTCTGGGCTTGGAGAAGGCATTCGACCGTTTCCCTTGGGGTGTCCTGTGGGAGGTGCTCCGGGAGTATGGGGTGTCTGGCCCATCGCTACGGGCCATTCAGTCCTTATACGACCGTTGCAAGAGCTTGGTCTGCATAGCCGGCAATAAGTCGGACTCGTTCCAGGGCTGCCCTTTGTCACAGGTTCTGTTCATAATTTTATGGACAGGATTTCTAGGCGCAGCCAAGTGGCGGAAGGCTTTCAATTCGGAGGTCTCAGGATCTCATCTCTGCTTTTCACAGATGATGTGGGTCTGTTGGCTTCATCGGGTTATTGCCTCCAGCTCGCCTTGGAACGGTTCGCAGCTGAGTGTGAAACGGTGGGAATGAGAATTAGCACCTCCAAATCTGAGGCCATGGTCCTCAGCCGGAAAAGGGTAGAGTGCCCACTCCGGTTCAGGGACGAGTTCCTGCCCCAAGTGGAGGAGTTTAAGTATCTCGGGGTCTTGCTCGCGAGTGACGGGAGAAGTTGGGAGCGGGAGATCGACAGACGGATTGGTGTTCCGCCGTGGTGAAGAGAGAGCTGAGTGTAAAAGCGAAGCTCTCAATTTACCGGTTGATCTACGTCCCTACCCTCACCTATGGCCACGAGCTGTGGGTAGTGACCCAAAGAACGAGATCGCAGATACAAGCAGTAGAAATGGGCTTCCTCCAAAGGGTGGCTGGCCTCTACCTTAGAGATAGGGTGAGAAGTTTGGCCATTCGGGAAGTGCTCAGAGTAGAGCCGCTGCTCCTTCACATCGAAAGGAGCCAGTTGAGGTGGTTCGGGCATCTGACAAGGATGCCTCCTGGGTGCCTCCTGCCTGGGGCAGACCCAGGACACACTGGAGAGATTATATCTCTCGGCTGGCCTGGGAATGCCTTGGTGTTCCCCCAGACAAGCTGGAGGAGGTGGCTGGGGAGAGGGAGGTCTGGGCCCAAGCAGAGAAGCCCAGACAAGCCCAGGCAAACAGCAGAAATAAAGTAATTCCTGAAGAATCCAGGGTTAAACCTGAAGTTACTGCATTGAGCCTCAAGTCCTGGTTCACCTTATCGGCCTCTGAAGGGGGGAGAAAGAGATGTGCAGCAAATGTAAACAAATAAAATTACAGATGATAACATATGGAGATATTGTCAGTCAATTAAAACTTTTGAAATATGATACTCAGCTATCGTCTGTGGTAGACTGCGTTGAAGCTACAGTTCCTTGGCTGAAATCTTTATGAATTTTTTCACAATTATTTGATAAAATTTGACATTTGGGAAAATATAATAATTTATTTTTTTGTGAATTTTGAACATTGAGAATTTAGTAAGCTAAGACCAAGTTTTTATGTCTAAAAGTCTAAAATCTTCTCTAAAAGAATAGAGATTTCAAGGTATCTTCTTTTCTGATGATGATTTGTGGCTCTCCTCCTTCACTGTGTAGGTCTGTGTGGAGAAGTTGATGCCCCTGAGCGCTTTCTCATCTGCCTTCCACCAGCCAACCTACAACAAACAGTCCATGTACCGGAAAGCCATCTTCGAGGCTCTGCGGGTAACAAACCCACTATTTAATCTCTGCTCTGAGTGTGTAGATGGTTGATGTTGATGTTAATAGGCTTGGAAACTATAAATCTCTCAGGATGAAATCAAACACCAAAAAAGCCAAAAAATATGAATGTGCTGGTCTAAGAGTCATTCCTCTCTTGTGCGCTCAGCCTGGTTGGCTATTTTGCATTTGTGGAGGTGGTGTTCTCATCTTGATCTGCCCACAATTTAAAAGTGGTAACATGTGGGTAACAGCAGTCCAATCTATAATTTTGTGTGGGGTTCGTTTTTGGTGAAAAAGTGAGAGAGAGAGAAGCTTCAGTGGCACCCACTGTGTCTCGTATGCTACAACCACATTAGTGTTTTAACTTGCCATAGGAGCCACATGAAAAACTGTTTTCCATCACTGCCATCACTTCTATTTCCAATTAATGATACGGAAACTTTGGTATATACATAAGTTCGACTGCTTGTGTATGTTATGTTTAGGTGGCCAGCGTCCGGGCGGGGAGGCCAGTTCCTTCCTGTGATGGCAGTGATGATGCAGAGGGGGTGGATCTTCAGACCAGAGAGATGATAGAGTGGGCCATGACCGGCTTCCTGCCCGCTGGTCCACAATCATTGGACCCTCCAGAGGGTATGTCATCTTCTCTCACACAAACACCACCTCCATCATTGTTAACTGGGCACATCAAATTACCTGTTTACAACTGTAGGAGGCACACTATGTGCTGTGTACTGTAAATGCACAGTACACAGCACATGTAAATGCAATTTAGAAATTACTCTTCCCTGAAAATCCCCAGAAGACAACTAAACATCTAACTGAATAAGAACACTCTGAGAGAGGTAGGCGTATCATTGTCAGTCTACAGTAAAGCGACACCTTGATGAATGGAGATACATGGGATTTACAAAAAAGCACAGGCCACTGGTTACACCCAGGAACAAGAAGAATAGATTAGACTTTGTAGAAACATTAAAATACAAGTATCTCGACAAATGAAACCAAGGTTAAATTGCACCAGAATGACTGGGAAGAGAAAAGTATGGAGAAGGACAGAAACGGCTCATGAGCCGAAGCATAACATATCACCTGTCAAACATGGTAGAGGCAGTGTTACAGTATGGGTGGCCAGTTGAACCAGGTCATGTTTATAGATCCCAGTATCTATACATTTTAATTCAGTTAACTCAGTTTGAGCTTAATTTGATCTTCTTGCTTTAATAAATGTAAATGAGTGTACTCTGAAAACGTTCACATTCGGGGTCTGCTGTCATTCAGTGAACATTACAGTTTAATCGTGAGGGTGGAGAAAAGCACAAAACCTTGCGATGTAGAGTTATTGTAAGCAAAATAATAATAATAGTATTGTAATATTAATAGTATTATTTTAGCTCTGTGCCCATTTTGTAAGGCTGTAAAGCTGGCATCAAAATAAAGGAAATAGCAAGATATTTTATTGAAAAAAGTGGAGAAATGACAGATTTCAGGGCCATTTTTACTCATGTTTCACATCTTTGGTATAACGTTTTTTATTTTGCAGCCTTGACCATGACATTCACAGCACTGCACATGTAAAGCATTTAGCTACAAGGATATCAAAGACAGCTGTATAAGTTGTTGGCTGTGATAAGCAACTGTACACTGCTGGAGCTTCCACACATGGATTTAGCCTTGGATAAGAAAACAATTAGTGAAAAAAGTGTCTGGATCCATGTATGCCTCTGACTATAGTCCAAAGCTGAGTTTGTGTTCAGCCACAGTGTAAAATAAAAATCAGCAGTTTTCCAGAGGGTCACACACTGGATAACTGAATCAAAATAAGGTTAAAAGTTCTAAAGAAAGTCCACTTTAATTCTATATAAACATTTAAATTAGCGTTCATCTTGCACCACAGTTGTGTGATACGCACCGCTGCATTGATTAGTAATACAACACACTGGAGTTCAATAGCAGTAAAGACCTAGTGCAGTGATTAACCTTGATATTGGTCAGCATAATGCCGCACAGTCGTTTTTTTTCTTTCGTAGGATGCTACAGGCAACCATTTTTTTCCATCTGTGTGATAGAGAAACTATCTAACCAAAAATGTGGTTTATTTACATGCTACTCTGCTTATATGCAGCTGCTGATAACTTGAGGTTCACTGTAATAAAAGTGTCTGAAATTGGAATCTTTGCAGTTTTAATTTACCTGCCTGGCTGATTCTGTCTCTTTAGTTTATGTGTATGATAAAGATATCATTATCATCAGTTTACTCCAATTATGACATATTCATTCAGTCCCTTCTGTCTGTTTAACAACCAAAGTGAAAGTCATCTTTTATATGTTATATGGATCTCTCCAGCTCTCTTCCACTTGTTACATTTCAGTCGCTGCACCACTGGCAGAAAAACAAGACAAATGAGCTCATTATTAATGTATTAATTATTCTGTTAAGGAGGGTTTTTTCCAGCTCTTATGGGGTTTCCTATCCACGTAAGGCATATTGGTTTGGCAGGGTGTCTGTCTTATCTGATTCCACAGATGTTTATATCTTTTTCTGCTGGGTTTTTTTTTCTTTGTGGGGGGGGCATTTGGGTAACCAAATGTGTTTTTGCTTTAGTAAATGAAGTCTTACTTAAAGAATCAGGTGAAACTGTTAAACTTCTGTTTTTGTTTTACAGCCTTTGTGATTTTCCTTTGGGAAAAGTTACAAATTATTTGTATGTAGAAAAGACCCGTATCCTAAAAAGAATATTTACTGCAACAATTTCTATCTAAACCATAGAAATTGTCATTACTGACAGGAAAAGTGGGGCTGAAAGCAAAAACATTTATCAGTTATCAAAAGTACGCTCCATAAAGCTGTATGGATCTCTCTCAGTACAAACATTGCCCTGCTTTAGTTCATTTAATGTGTCCATGTGTTAACTTCATGCCCCTATCTCTACAGAGGAACAAAATCCATATAAGGAAGTGTACCCAGAGATGTGGGGGGAGCCTGAGGCTGCGTACACACCTCCACCTGCAAAGAAACCACGCAAAAACACGCAAGAAAAAGCAAAGATCAGAGAGGTGATCGACGAAGGGACCAGAGGTAAAAATGCAAAAAAAAAAATTGAAATAAATAAAAAAAAAACTTTCTTTTTATTTTGTCCATTTAGCATGTAAAACGAAAACACAGATTGTTGTTTAATATTCCGCTTTCTTTTAAACCCACACTAGGCTGATAATATCATACCTTCTATTAAACTTGTATTGTTGTTATCGTTTATATGTATTTGAACTAACTTGTGTTTTGTTTTCCAGAGAGACTTATATTTGAGATCAAAAAGAAGACCAGGAATATAGAAGGTAAAAGCATCTCCAGTTGTTTAACCGTCATTCATATTTAAACCAAAGAAGGGATACTTTATTTTCTTTCTAGTATTTCTTTTGTCTTAGCTTTGGTTAACCTTGGATCCAGAAGATTCAAAGTTGAGTAATAACATGACACAAAATATTAATAAAGGATTAACAAAGATTGACACAATCCTTTAAAAATGCTTTATCTCCTTAAACCGGCATTTGGTTCGTAGTTGTCTCTCAAATTCATCTAATAAAAAAGAATAAAGGACTATTATTAAGCTTTCGCTTGTTAAGCATAAGCTGTAAAATAAATCAGTTTTACTAGATCTGTATAACCTGCCTTCAATTGGACCAGCCAACGACTGCATATCACTCCTACTTTTTCTGCTCTTTCCTGTAAAATTTAGAGTTCATTTTATTTATTAATTTTAATCACACAAACCCTATACGGCCCCAGATTGTCTTAGCATAGCAGATGTACTGAGACATTATTCCAGCAGTCTGTCTCGTTATCTGATTCAGGCCTTTTAACTGTCCCTACATTTTAGACAAATAGCTGATGTGTTTACTGTCTACAAAATGTCAAAGTACATATAAACAGACACTTAAACAAACTAACAAATGCTGTAGATTTAGTTTGTCTGTATTTTCTCTCTGTTTTTGTTCAGATATCTGCATCTCCTGTGGAAGCCTCAATGTCTCCCTGGAGCATCCTCTGTTTGTAGGAGCAATGTGCCAGGGCTGCAAGGTGAGAGTCTCTCTTCTTATTATTTATTATTTATTATATATTATTTTCTTAATTGCTTATCCAGCCTAAGGTCACAGAGGGGCTGTAGTCTATCCAAACTGTACAGGCGCCGTGCACTCAGACAACCGTTCGCACCCACATGTACAGCCAATTTAGAATCACCAATTAACCTAACAAGCATGTCTCTGGACTGTGAGCGGAGGCCAAAGCACAGGTTGGTCATGAAAGGTTAAACATGAAAGGTTTCTCAGTGTGGTCAAATCTGACTGTCCCATAGGTGGATGAAGGAGTTAGTTTGTGAAATTAGTTTGACTATATTCATACATTTTTCAGCATCACAAGTTTTCCCAATAATGCTACGTACAATTGCACTGCTGTAGCTTTTACTGCAGAGCTTTATTCAGTGGTGTTGAGCTACAGCTTTAAAGGTCTCATATATAAAACATAATGCTTTAACTCTATATAACACTTATAAAACAAACAAACTATGAATATTTGGCACTTCCATGTGATTTTAAACTGAACTTACTACTGAGTTCAAGTAATCAGGTAGCATGTGATTGGTCAAAAGAACTCACACGATGTGAGCATAAACAGACCCCAGACAGCCCCAGAATACCCCAAATCTCAGCTGTTATGCTCAGATTCTGCATGTTCAACATGAAGGTTCCTGTGTGTACAGTTCTCCAAGGCTGCAACTAATCACTCTTATTATTATTAACTGAGTATTTTTGCCTGTCAACATGCAAAAGTGAATGAAAAAACAATCCAGACCACAAAGATATTAAGAACAATACTAAATAATACAAAGAGTCTCAAATTCTCACATTTGGGAAGCTGGAACCAGAAAATGTTTTTCCATGATAAATTTCTTCCAGCAACAAATATCTCACCCAGTATGTGTGGAAGCTGCATTTCCCCAGGGGAAAAATCCAAGCAGCTAGCTGTTTTGGAAGCAGTGACAATATTATTGGAACATCGGTTACATATTGGTAATCTGTTGTAGTTCACAGGCATGTAAAAATAAACTCAATGAACAGAAGGAGAAACAAAAAAAAACTTGTGTTTTGCTCCTCGGCAGAACTCGTTCCTGGAGTGCGCCTACCAGTATGACGATGATGGCTACCAGTCCTACTGCACCATCTGCTGTGGAGGCAGGGAAGTGCTCATGTGTGGCAACAACAACTGCTGTAGGTCAGTATCAGGGGTTTGCAAACAGCAGCTTCTTTCAACACATTCAGGTCCTGCTAAGGTTTTCAATTTCACATGTACAGGAACAGTTTACACCTAAATGTCCAAACGTGATAAATCACTTTCTTTATTGGCACAAAGCTCATGTGGATTTGTTTATTTCAAAAGAGAGTACACAGTTGATTTTGGCATCTCGGCTCTAATCCTTTCACTGCAAACAGAGCAGAGATCAGACATGAAAATAATGAGCTTCAGTCCAAAGTGGTTTTTTCAAAGAACTCTCTGCAGTGCTGTAAAAAGCCAGGTACACCTCAACACCTTCAGTAGTTTGTAGGTTCACCTTAAGTAGCAACAACTTGAAGTATTTGTTTTCTGTATGACTTAATGAGATCCTCATATCCTAGTAAAGGAATTTTGGTTCACTGTTCCTTACAATGTTATTCACGTTCACTGAAGTTTCAGCCATTCTGTTGTAGAGCTGCAAGAATGGGCAAGGATTTCAGTCTCTAGATGTGCAAAGCTGGTAGAGACATACCCTAAAAGACTGGCAGCTATAATTGCAGCAGGTTTGGGGTGTTTATGCTGATATGCTAAATTGAGTGTTGTGCATTATGGCCAGTTATCTCCACTTTGGTCCTGAATGTCCAAAGGACTTTGTTCCAGAAGTCTGTTGTTTCTTCAGATTTAATTTGTAGACCTAAGCCATGCTGCCATGTTCTTTTTAGAGAAAAGAGGCTTTTTCCCAGCAACCCTTACAAACAGGTCATACTTTTTCAGTCTTCTTCTAATTGCACTGTCAGTAGAGTTCGAGACGAAGCCTACGAGTCTTTTTTATTTTTGGAATTTCTCTGAGACTTGCACTGTTCAAAGGCTGAACTTTATTTGTTACTTGACAAAGACATGTTAGTGAGTGGATAAATAGACATGAGACATGATGAATTGCTGTGTGTGCGTTTAGGTGTTTTTGTGTGGAGTGCGTGGATCTCCTGGTCGGGGCTGGCTCGGCAGCGGCAGCCATCAAAGAAGACCCCTGGAACTGCTACATGTGTGGACCCCGCAACACCTACGGCCTACTGCGACGGCGGGATGACTGGCCCTGCAGACTACAGCATTTCTTTGCCAACAACCACGAGCAGGAATTTGTAAGTTTGAATGCTCTCTTCCTACAAAACAATTTCCCTTACTCGTTGGGCTTGAATTGCCTTGTTGGTTGTTAAGAGTGTCAGAGGTGATAAATTAGTAATCTTTTATTATCACATGTTGTAATTGATTTGTGTGGATTGTTAAAGAGCAAAACATTTTGTCCAGATCTGTTTTTAACACTGTTTTCATAATGTAGGAGAGTCCTTCTAGAAAAAAGTGGCGCCATATTTGATGAATGAAGAGAGATCCATATAGATATAATACATGCATACAGACAGTCAAACACATGGGTCTTTCACTCCTGCATACACACTCCTATACAGACATATCAGAAGAACAAAAGGCCAAAAATAATGGGTGAAAGATTAAGCAAAAGCTAACCTAGAGAACTTAGCTTTTAGTGATTGTTTAAAACAAACCAGTGATTTGGCTGACCTGATAGGCCGAGGAAGGCTGTTCTAACATTTGGTAGCTACAACCTCAAAAGCATGATTGCCTCTTTTTTTAAAATAAAAGTGTGGAACAGTTAGGAGATGCTCGTGCTTCTTGTAGCTCGCTGCAGATTCTCAAATCTGCTTTGGATCACAGACCTGTTGTAGAAGCCAGATTTATTTCTGTTTCACTTTACTGACCGGCTGCCAGACATCTGTTTCGAGAATTCCTGACACTTGGTGCTACACAGCTTCAAGTCCAAAAATTTTCCTCCAAATCAGCTCTATCCTGTCCAGATGCTGCTCTTCATATGATGTCATATCATATCACATGATACGCCATTCATATGCGATGCCTATAGTTTCTTCCAGATCTCGAGTGTCAAAGTTCCCTTTAACTGCCATCTGTCACAAGGTGGAAACACCAGGCAGGAAGCACTTTGATATCTTGCTTTTGTTCTGCGTTACCATGAAGGCTGAAGGACCAGAGAATTTATCAACTGTGAAAGTCTTAATGAAGATTAAAGACCTCCATCATAACATCTAACACGTTAATGAAGTCCTGGTTGTTTCAGAAGTAAGGGGATTCCCAGATATTTACACATGCCAGTGTGAGAAACCAAAAGCAGACATATTTTCTTACTTTCACTTTACTTTACTTGTAGATAATATGACTGTAGATATACCTTCTTATGTGCTGTGATTACAATTTGCAAGTTTAATAATTAGCCACATCACGACCGAGGATCAACAGGTAGGAAAGAATTACCACACATAACTAATGCAGCGAGTTCATCAGTTATAAGCCACGAGCAAGTAAAACAATAAATAAAGCAACCAAAGTTCCAGCGAACCGAATGACCCGGTGGAAGAGAGAGGCTGCGAGCTCGAGCCCTCATTTATAGACGAGCAATAAATCTGTTCCCATATCCAAACAACAACATGAAGAGGGCGTCTGTGATTCCCGCCAGTTAACAGATGTTTAAACATTTACAGGTGTCTCACCTCATTACCATCCGCCCAGATCATTACCAGGTAAAGCACATTAAAGCCTCCTCCAGGCTAAGGGGTAGAGGGGGTGCCTCAGAATTCCTGTCAGGATTCATTAACCTGCAGTTCAACAGCAATTTATGGATCAACGCTAGCCATCATAACCACAATACTAATGAAAAACTAATTAAGGCTGCATAAATACAGAGTCTGGAGAATAATACTCGTTTTCAAATGTTTGTAGCTCAAGTTTCATTCTTTCAGTCCCTACCATAGCCCATTTTTAAAAATGCAGTTTGAGAATAGCTGTTATGAAGCATGGGGGGGCTATGACACCGAAGTGTCACTGTGTAAGTGGTAACATCAAATTCAGATGGCTCATTAAGCTGCTGTTATATTGTATTAATAAACATCCTGCTCTTCGGTACTGTATTACTTCTTACAGCAGCCTGTGAATATCAGACATCTTATTTAAGCTCACATTGCATGCTGTAAGTCAATGGATTGTGCTAAATTTAATGTATCTGCCACTTTACATCTTATCTCTTGTCATAACCTTTATAGAACTTTGAAGTGTGAATCATTACAGTTAGCTGGAAACATAATTATCTGGAGATCAGTGTGGGTTACGCTCCAGGGCTCGTGAGCTCTCAATTATCCACGAAGGTTAATGCACATCAAAACAGATCATGTTCACCTTTACTATTGATATTCTCTCCTTCTTCTTCTTCTTGACTTTTTTCTTTAGTAAAGAGCAGATCATTATCAGGAGAAGCTCTCTGCCTTTGCGTACTGTAGAGTTTGATATCTCATTTGATCTCCTCTTCCTCTTAACCCTCTCTCAGGAGCCGGCCAAGTTGTATCCCCCAGTTGCAGCAGAGAAGAGGCAACCAATCAGAGTCCTCTCTTTATTCGATGGCATTGCCACAGGTGTGTAAGTGCTGAGCGGCAATTAACCACTATTCTCATCATCAATAAATTATTGATTAACAGGTTAATATGATCCTTTATCCTTACGACTTGTGCCATCATAATCGGGGTGTGTTGCTTTAAATAAGAAACAAAAAGAAATATAAAGATATCCTGTCACATCCTTATTCTACGCAGTTTAAGTCGCAGAAAAAAAGTTTGGTGCAGCTCACGATATTCTCAGATTAAAATCTCTTCTTCATTGAAGAGCTTGCCATTGAAAATGAAATAAAAAATAATACAGATACACATAAAACAAAAATAAAGCAAGTGAATTTAATGGTAAATGAGAAAAGTGGTTAAGTGGAAGTATAAAACAGAAATGTGAAGACAAAGTAAGATTTACTTCATCCATCCCAAAGTTGTCAAAGCAGTTAAAAATGAACACGACAAACATGAACAGCTGGTATTGGCTCAGCCTGGCGTTCTGACTGTGCGGGTTTAAGTATTTGTTATAAATGCTGTATGTTATAAATGTTGTTTCACCACATTCTGTTAGAAGCTTTGAGTATTTTGGAAGGATTTATATCTATTTTAAAAGATAAACATTTATAATAAGATTCAAGATTGTTTATTTTTCACATGCATAGTTATACAAGTACAAGACGCAGTGAAATGTGACCTGATGCGCTCCATGACTGTGCAAAGAGAGAGAACATTATATACAGTGAGTGAATATATACAAAGAGGACATTATGTGCATGCAGTAAGTGAGTGAGTTATATACATTATATAAATAAATTAAATAAATAAATCTGAGAACGTACATTGTGTGAGTGGGGTGTTAAAGTGTCTTGTGCCGTAGTGAAGCCAGAAGGATCAGGAATGATATGCGAATGTGGTAACAATGACTCCTGTGTCACTTGCTTCTCTTGAGCCTCTCTGTTTTTGCTCGGATGGCGCAGAGCCTTCTGCCTGATTGCAGAAGTCGGAACAGTTTGTTGTTGGGATGGGACGGGTCCTTCAATATCTGAGCTGCTCTGGACCAGCATCTCCTGTTGTAAATGTCCTGAAGGGAGGCGAGAGCAGCCCTGCAGCAGCGTTCTGCTGTACGGATCACTCTCTGAAGACCTTTTTGGTCCTTAACAAAGCTCTTCCCATACCAGGATGCAATGTTCTGTGTGAGGATGCTCTCCACAGCACCTATATGGAAAGTCCTGACTTGAAAGTCCTCAGTTGTAAGGCAGTAGTTATGCATTAGGTAACAAAGCAATAAATAAATAAACAACTAAAAAGGTGCATAGTCTGCGCGGAGCAGTCAGGAAGGCGCCTGGACGTGGCCGCGCCATCTTAAAACCTAAACCCTTAAAGAGTTTTTAGCATGATGTTTGTGTGTCTGTCAGGTCTTCTGGTGCTGAAAGATTTGGGCATCCAGGTCGAAAAGTATGTTGCATCAGAAGTGTGTGAAGACTCCATCACTGTCGGCATGGTTCGACACGAGGGACGCATCATGTACGTGGGAGACGTACGCACCGTAACTCGCAAACATGTAAGAGAAATCATTATTGCTCCTCAAAACCACAACGTAACCAGAAAAATTTCCTCACATTATGTTAAAGGCAGTAATCTTTAACGTGCTGTGTTTCCACCGACAGATCGATAAATGGGGACCATTTGACCTGGTGATAGGAGGAAGCCCCTGCAACGACCTTTCCATAGTCAACCCTGCAAGGAAAGGACTTTATGGTAGGAAGCACTCGTATAATCATTTACTTGTTGCTCGTTGTGCTAAATGAAATAAGGAGGCTGAACTTTCCCTGTCTTCCTTCAGAGGGGACCGGCCGGTTGTTTTTTGAGTTTTACCGTCTGCTGCATGAGGCGCGGCCAAAACCCGGCGACGAGAGGCCGTTCTTCTGGCTGTTTGAGAACGTGGTCGCTATGGGAGTCAGTGACAAACGGGACATCTCCCGCTTTCTAGAGGTACGGCAAACAAACCCACAGCAGTTATTCTGTAAGTGAAATTTAAAAAAAGCCCCCCAACTACATCCCCACAGGACATTCTCAGTTGTGGTACAGAAGGTTGTTAGGATCCATTTATCCATCCATCCATTAGTTAGGTCAAAAGTAAGTCTTCAGGGCCGTGGTGCAGTATGACATAACATTCATATTCCTCTTCAGTGCAACCCAGTGATGATCGACGCCAAGGAGGTTTCTGCTGCCCACCGCGCTCGCTATTTCTGGGGAAACCTGCCCGGCATGTCCAGGTGATACAAACACACAAACACCACAGGTTTGTTCACTTTATTTCAGTAAGGAGAGATCATTTGGAAGAACTGAACATGATTTATTGAGATACAGAATTCAATACAGTTGTCTGGCGATTAGTCTCCGATGACCCATCGTAGCAGAACAAAATCTCAGTAGTAGCAGGAATTAGAGGACAGGACCCCCCAGAGTCTAGACACTGGTGGTGGTGAAGATGGAGGCTTGCACGGAGCTCTGAGTCACCAGGATGAGGTGGAGATGGGGAGGAGGTGGGTTGCACTAATGTGCATCTGAGAGGCAAAAAGACAGAAGTGTAGTGTGAAGGGTGATTGACTTGGAGAAGGTGTACAAGAAGATGATTGGATTAGAGCAATGATGTCAGTATTGAGTTTGAAAGCATAAGAAAACGAAAGCAATTAAAGAACAGACAGCAGCTGGACACCTGGGAAAGTCAGCTGCAGGGTGATTACGAGTTTTCCTTACTGAATTGAAAATGCAACTCTTCTTTAGGTTGTGCTTTTCTAAATACTGCAGGCCACTGACACCGATGGCAAACGACAAGCTGGACCTACAGGAGTGCCTGGAGCATGGCCGCACAGCCAAGGTATCCACTTGTGTGTATGTGTGTGTGTTTGTGTGAGAGAGTGTGTATTTGTGTGTCTGAATCACAGAAAGCTGCTGTTGAAAATGAGAGTAGGCTGTAGGATTAAAAGGGATGCGTGTGTTGGTTTGTTTGTTTGTGTCTGTCTGTGCGTGTTTGGTTCTGGATGCTAATTCCAGTTTGAGAAGTTGCGTACGATAACGACACGCTCCAACTCTGTGAAGCAGGGGAAAGACGAGCATTTCCCCGTCTACATGGACAACAAGGAGGACATACTGTGGTGCACCGAGATGGAAAGGTACAGGAGCCGCGTGTTTGTGTGTGTGTGTGTGTGGTTTTTTATTACCTCTTAACATCCAGCAGGTGACTGCAGACCTCTAAGGGTAACGGTTAGATTTCATTTTGACCATATGGGTCTTCTGTATTTACATTTAGGCTTACCTTAAAAAATGAAAAATCCATATATATACATACCTGTACAGGTGGATGTTAAGAGGTTAATTGTTTTAAGCATGTTCTTGCATGAAAGTGAACTTGTTTGAATTATTAAAAGAAGCTATATCCTGTCAAATGGTCACATGGTGACATAGTAGGGTTGAGATTGTAATTCAAGCATGTTAGACCTGAGATCATGTACGTGTCTCGCCTCACCCTCAAACGGTCGCATCAAATGGCCGGCCCTCCCTGAGCTTAGTTCTGCTGGAGGTTTCTTCCTGTTAAAAGGGAGTTTTTCCTTCCCACTGTTGCCAAGTGCTTGCTTATAGGAAGTCATTTGATTGGTGGGGTTTTCTTTCTCTTATTGTAGCATCTTTGTCTTACAATACAAAGCTCAATATGAGATTAATTGGGCTAAAAACTTATGATGTAGTTGTGCCACGTGTTTAACTAACAAGATTTCCCATTTCATGAAATGAAATTGTGTCTCTGCTTTACTATTTGGTAATGAGGGAGAATTTCAATATATGTAAATTGTAAAATGAGAAGTGGGGTTCATATAAAAAGAGGGGTGATTACTAAATGAGACACAGGTGGAAGCAGTCAAATTCAAGGTAAATGAATAATTTGACCGTGTTTCAATGGAGGGAAAGAAACAAAAGCAGGAAGTAAAACATTAAAACAAAAAATAATCAAAGCAAATGAAAAGCAAACATTTAAGACACATAAACACTCACATGCACACACTGTAAAGGACTACTTCCTGAGATCCCTTTTAGACCACTGGCTGACCTTAGTCAAGACCACAACCATCATCCCTCTTCCCAAGAAAAGCCAAACCACCTGCCAAAATGACTATAGACCAGTTGCAATCCAATCATTGCAAAGTGCTTCAAGAGAGTGGTGCTGGCCTACATTCAGAGCAACATCACAGACACTCTGGATCCCCTGCAGTATGCCTACTGGCCCAATAGGTCCACATCAGACGCCATCGCTGCTGCCATTCACTATTTCCTCTCCCATCTGGGAAACAAATACTCATACATCAGGGTACTTTTTGTTGATTACAGCTCCTCCTTCAATACAGTCCCACACAAACTCACTCACAAGCTAGCAACACTCGGCCTGCGCCCCACCCTATATGACTAGCTACTGGACGTTTTGACTGGTAGGGCCCAGTCCGACGACACTGCAGTGATCAGTCGCATCACTGGAGGGGATGAAGCGGCTTACAGGAGAGAGGTGGCCGGTCTGGTGTCATGGTGTGAGGACAACAACCTCACCCTCAACACTGAAAAGACAAAATAGATGATAGTAGACACGAGGAAGAAGGGGAGGCATCACCAGCCGCAGTTTATCCGGGGCCTTGAAGTGGAGAGGGTGAGCAGCTTTAGATACCTGGGCGTCTACATCTCTGAGGACCTCACCTGGACACTGAACACCACACAGGTGGTCAAGAAGGCTCAGCAGCAGCTGTATTTCCTGAGGAGGCTGAGGAAATTTGGTATGTCGGCCAAGATCCTCAGCAAGTTCTACAGCTGCATTGTGGAGAGCACGCTGACCAGCTGCATCACTGCAGCAAACGCCTGCAGAGAGTAATAACAGCTGCTGAGAAGATCATCAGGACTCTGCTGCCCTCTCTGCAGAGCATCTACCATCACAGAGTCCAGAGGAGAGCTGCCTCCATCCTCAAAGACCCCACACACCCCCAACATGGACTGTTCACACTTCTGCCATCGGGACGAAGGTTTAGAAGTGTGAAATCCAGAACATCCCGACTCAACAACTCCTTCTTCCCCACTGCTGTCAGACTCTTGAACAGCTGAACTATTTTAACAGTAATAATTTTGCACATCAGGTCATCTTACATATTAAACCAGCATTAAGCTCAAAGCTCTTTTGCACACCAATCTATTTAACGCTTCAGTTTTTGTCTCCATTTATTTATTTATACTATTTGCATTTTATCTGTTCCAATTTTATTTGCACATATTAACCAGCATCTGTGTGTGGACAGCAGAGAAAGAATTTCATTGCACAGAGAAATGCTTTTCTTTGTCCTCATGACAATAAACTTTTTGAATCTTTGAAAGACAAAAACTAACAAATATAACAAATTCAAATGAAAAAAAGAATCTTCTTTTAAGTTTAGGATCCTAAGTGATTTGAAATATTTCTTGGCTTTGCTTCACAGACCTTTTTCTATTTAAAGTCTGAAGTAATGATCTGTGTGGTCTGTTTCAGGGTGTTTGGTTTCCCCGTCCACTACACCGACGTGTCCAACATGAGTCGTCTGGCCAGACAAAGGCTTCTGGGGCGTTCGTGGAGCGTCCCTGTCATCAGGCACCTTTTTGCTCCTCTGAAGGAGTATTTTGCCTGCAACTAGTCACACACACCAACTCCCTCCCACGTACAGACACACACATATAAACAGAAACAGACACTGATAACCATACACAGTGTACAGTCAGTACATGAAGGTTGGCTGACGCAAAATGAAACAGATGACCGGACATAGACACACAAACACTCACATACACACTCTGTAAAGGACTGCTTCCTGAGATCCCTTGTAGACCACTGGCTGACCTTAGTCCCCTGGTGCTACCGTGCTACCACACACACACACACACACACACACACACACACACACACACAGGTACAGTTTTCTGTCATACACAAACTTCCTGTCCGACCTTGAAACTGATGTCTTCTGGCTTTACTGTGTCGTATCAGCTGGAGTTCAAACCTCCAGGGGGCGCCAAACTAACACAGATGCCCTGCCTTTTTTCTGTCTTTAAGATCTCTATGAATACGTACAAACAGACCAATGAGTCCCGCAACACTTTACTGTATTCATGTGTTGTGAAAACAGAAAGACACACAAACACACGTAACATTCGTGGTGCTGGTCAGGCAGTGATACAATCGAAATGGTGCCACTTTAATACAACACTTTTACAGATTTTGGTGCTCTTGGAGACTGAATGGTCTCTGCTTGTTTCAGTCGCTGCAGTTTTGAGTTCAAATAGACGAGCAGGTGGAGGCAACAGCAGGCAAAACAGGTAGCTGTGAGGTTTAAGGATTGAATGAGGGTGCAGGAGAGTGTCCAAAAGGAAGATAACGCAGCTTAGATTTCTTGATGCATGCTCCAGGTAAGGAAATCCCAAAAAGTTGATTCTGGACATAGCGCTTTCAATGGGAGGAACGTTTCGCTCGAGTGAACAGCGGAAGTGGAAGAACATTGTACCAAAAAGGCTTCAGTAAAGCTGGGAAGACACCTAAAGGAAGCTCCAGGCAATCCTGGAAAGAAGGACAACTGCTACCTAAGCAAAAATGTTTATTGATCTTTTTTTTTTCAGGAGTAATAGAACAGCTGAGACGTATTTTCTGTAAACACCACGTCTCGGTAGCTTTCAAACCCTAAAACACCCAGCGCCAAAAATTGCTCCCCCCAAAGGATCAGGTCCCCCAGCACAAACAGAGTAATATAGTTCACGCTGTTAAGTGCCAGAAGGATTGCCACGATTCATACATTGGGGAAATCAAACAACCTCTGGCTAAGCGGATGGCATCTCTGAATTGAGGAGGACGCCTAAGAGTTCATCTTTTCACTTTCATGCTGTGATTGCAGTCATTCCCCAACTCTCTGTGAATGGTATGGCAATTTGCATGTTTATGATCATGAAACTGACCTCACAGTCCATTGTTACTCACTGGTGCTAGTTTTAGTCATTATGCAAAGGTACTGTTTATAAGGTTGGGGAAACCTGCAGTCAGGTGAGACTGAGGAAGTCACTGAAAATGCTACGTCCAGATGAACAGAATCAACTTTTTGGGACCAGCTCAGATTAATATATAGATCGTTTTTCTTAGTGTGACTACAGCTTAATAAGACTATAACCTTTAAATGTTTCTTAAAGGAGGAGGATGCTCTTGTGCTACAAATAATCCTTGCAGATGAATTTATACCTCAGTGCAAAGAAAAGAAAGAAAAAGAGATCCACTTTTATCTAAAGCAAAATGAAATAATAAAATAAAACAGAATTTTATTGGGATGCAGCTGTGGTTTGAGGAGTTTATTTTACTTGTTAATGTTTGATTTTTGTATTTTTCAGTAGTTTCTTGTGTCTCCAGGGTGGACTTACTATTATCACTTTAGTTTCAGTGTTAGTTTTACTTCTCCTTATTATGAAATGTATGGTAGTTTTTATCATGATGGAATAATACAATACAACAAAACAAACACAGAGATGAAGACATCCTGGTGTCCTCAACCTGGTTGACAAATTGACTAAAACCGAAGACAGTTGCTGTATAGTTTAATATTTTATATAGTTTTGTAAGTGTTTTGGTTAGTTTTCGTTTTATTTCAGTGAACTAATTTGTGGTTTAGTTTCAGTTAACTTTAACAGCCTTATTATAAGATCAAAATGCTGACATATATAAAAGCAAAAAACCTTCTGAATGTAAACAAAAGTTATGAAATTTAAAACTAGTACAGTAGAAACATCCTTGCTGCTGTCTGCATCCTCAGTGTTTAGAGTGCCCTCTAGTGGGAGACAACCATACTTCATACTGCAAATGTACTCTATACACCGTATATAAAACACAAGCTACTTCTACTTTCCTCACAACAAGCAAACCATCTCTGTACTGTACTGATTACTTCCTGGTGGTTTTCAGACACTAGGTTCACGAATGCTTTTAATAATGAAAATATTTCCTCGTGTTTCACTTACGCTGGGATGACAACTGTTAAATGACTTTGGTGCTCATTTTCAATGTAATATTACTCTGATGTCACTCAGCTGATGATCATCAGGAACAAGTAGATGTTATCATATTATACCAAAGTTTGCCTCGTTAACATTATTGGAGGCAGAAGACGACGTTCATTGGATGTTAGGTTGATAGATTTGAAGTTAAATTCAAGTAATCTCAAATTTAACTTGATTATCTTTTGACTTCCTCTATTTCTTCAAGGTATTGTTTAGGGCTAATGGGAAATTTCTGTAAAATGTTATGCTAACAACTCTCCAGCATCATAAATTCCAAACATTAAGTAATGTGCAAAATAATTTAGTGTTTGAGTGGATTTGAGATCATGAAATGCAAATATATTTATTGTTTAGGACGTGGCACAGTGTCCTCCAAATGTGTACTAACTGCACTAACTCCAATGCTTTTGTTGTCTGTTTTTGAACTGGCATTTGAACATAAGATCCAAATACTGCCAAGATACCAAAGTAGAAACTGGATTTAGCTTTTGTTTCATTCTATTCATATTTTATTTTTTATATGTACAGTGAACTCAAATGTATACTAACAGTATTCCGAGTTTCATATGAAAATCTCACCTCAAAATAGAAGTGAACAGTTTTAATCAAACTTTTTTTTTTCCTTTAAATTCACATCAACTTAGCAGAAGAAGGTCTTTTGACAATTCCTTAAATATGTTAGAGAGAAATCAGCCGTTGGTGAAGTAGGACCGTGTAATACCACTTTGTACCACAAGATAGCACATCAGGTTTATGTATTATTACTTAGGCTGGCAGTCTGGCAAATGAAAGGAGTAAATGAATGAAAGGCCTCTTGAGGAATAAAAGCAAATATCAGAGGGTAAAACCATATCAACAGAGCCACATGGAAAACACTGCCCCCTGATGGTGAAGGATTTAGTTAAAAGCTGCAAACAGCTGCAAAAAGCTCCTTTAAAGAGAAAGCCCCTCGAGGCATTTATTTGGACAGTTTTGAAATACTATCTAAATTAGCTTTAATTTCAAAGGTCACTGGGACATAAGAAACAGAAATAAGAAAAAGAAAGAAGGTATTTTTCCCCTGGAAGTTAAACTTCTATCAACATAGCAAAATTCCCAGGATCTCAGTTCAGGATGTCTGTGTCTCTGTTTATGTGCTTTCAATCTCCAACTCCAACCATAGGGAATATAAAGGACAGGATTTTATCCATCAACTTAAAATAACCAGTAGTCTTTTCTTGCATTGCCCCCTGCTGGTCATTCAAAAAAAAATCCAGGTTTAAGGCACTTCTGTCTTTTACAGAATGAGGTTAAACTCATTCTGCAGGATTATTTCTGCCTGCAGAGCACCATCGCCTCCGAGAAGCATTAACCTAAAACATTGGTGGTTAGAAGTAGAAAACATTCAGCATCCTCTTCTCAGCAGCATTTTACGCTCCCTCCTCTTACAATGCAGCTTCTTTCTGTGCCTCAGCTCCACTGTCAGTTAAGTGACTAGTCTGCCATCCCCCTGGCACTCGTTCTCCCCCTGTGCTTCACAGGGATCCAAAACGTCCTACAGTCACCGTTCTGCGTCGGCTGAAAGCAGAGGCCGACTTTACTCTGTGGACAATATGCTGGCTTTCTACTTCCTGTGACTGAAACAGATAGCCCTGTATAAATAAAAAGAAGCTTCCTTATGTAACACAGGTTCAGCTGTGTGAGCCTTCTTGGGTGTTTCATCTGCCTTTCACCCAATGCATGCTGGGATGAACTCAGCTGCTCTGTGAAGAGGAAATGTCATCCAGTGTGGTGGCTGTATTTATTACACACACACACACACACACACACACACACACATGAGAAACAAGTTCATATGTATGTTTTATTTAGACAGGGCTGCCTTTAGAGAAAACACTTCAGTCTGGTGCTTTTGGTCCTCGGACGACCATCTTTTCCAGGAAGCCTTCCGATCCTCAGACCTTCCTCAGATACCAGCTAACAACTGGACACATGCAGTCTATGCCGTCTCACACACACAAACACACACACAGACCTTCACACAAACATGCACAACCTCTCATAGCCACAGTAAGCCAGCAGGTTCAAAGATTTTGTTCCATCGTGTTTACTCTCCGTTTCTACAACCAACCTTCAGGTGCTTTTTAAACTCTGCTCTTTTTTACAGTGCTCTTCCTGCAGGTCTCACACACACTCACACTCTCATTTGCTGGAAACAGCCTTCATGCTTCTCCTTTCGCTACAGAACACCCAACACCGCTACACTCACACATGCATACACACTGTGTTCTTGCCGGCCGCCTGTCCGCCATCAGGCTTTCCGCAGCGCTGCTGGCTGTGACATCATCATGGCCCACGACGCTTGGTGCTCCCAAATCCTGCCCACCCTTACCCTAATCTCTCCCTCACTCCAATAACCCCACCTCGCCCTGCCCTGCCCCTCCCCAGGTGCTGCATGTCAGTCAGTCAGTGTAATCTCCGATTCCATGTTAGTTTAGGGAGTAACGATAATAATAATATGGTAATAATAATTACAGTAATAATCTGTTATTGTGTGTGTGTACTGTTCCAGGTTGGTGCTCAGTTCAGTTCAGTCTCAGCCTAGAGTGGAGAGAGAGAGGCTAGAGAAAGCATATATTACAGTTAGTATAGTGACTTGTTCTATTTTAAATCGTTGAAGCTATGAGCCGCGCGATGCTCTCAAACAGAGACGGGTTGAGTTAAAGCTGTCTGTAAAAGCTGAATTTCCACTGGCACAAGGCAGTTCCCAGTCTGGAGGTCCTGAGACTTAAGAAACGTATTAATAAAATACATGAGCTTCACAGAATTTTATCATTTCAGATTTATTTAAGGCCGTGTGCAGATCTGATCCATGCCAAAACATTTAAATCAAATTTAATAACTTAGTTCCTAAAGTTTTGGTCAACCGGAAATCTGAGCTTCTTCAGAAGCTGTTAAACAGTTAAATAACTTCACAACTTTTAGATGGGGATATTTATATCTAGATGTATATACACGCCAAAGTAGCCATAATATTAAAGTACCTGCCTAATATTGTATAGGCCCCCCTCAATCTGGGAAGTTTAGAGGCCACATCCAAACATCAGGCTTGTTGTTGCGTTCCTCGAGCCATATTTGTGGTGTGCTGAGGGAGACCACTGCCATTGGGGAGTGCCCTTGCCATAAAATGTGTGAGCTTGACATGTAAGCCATTGCTTGGTGGGCGTTTTGTGACAAAGTGACACCTGACTGTACGCCAGGATCCAAATTTCTCAGCAGAGCATCGCATTAAAAGCGTGATCACTCACTGCAGCTGCCAGTGGTTTAAGTCTTGGGGCTCACCGGCGTTTGTTATATTTGCTCTGGAGGCTGCTGGTTCAGCACAGGCATGACGATTTTCAGCCTGTTTACAGTTTCCAGCTGTTTATTTTCCTTTTCTCCAACACGTCTCTGTGTGAGAGCTCCATGGGGGGGAAAAGTGTGAGGAAAGGAGCTGACGTTTTTAAGTGATGGGTGATACGGTGATGATGTTTCTGTTCGCCTATCGACAGCTTTTAGGCTGAGTGATGCGCTGTTTTAAACACTGATACACTTTCAAACACACACATACATACACAGACAAACACACACTGCTATGACACAGAGCAACCGACGCTCACACGCAGAGATACATGCACAACACCTACAAATACAATGCTGTGGCGCATGCAGACACTCATCTCATGGACTAAATGTAAGATGAGCTTTTAGGAAAAGGAGGACCTGTTGGTGTTTCAAAAGGTGCTAAAATTTTATCTGAAAACAAGAAAAATTTATTGTTAGGAGTATAAATCAAGTTTGTCTTTACATTTACTGTATTTATGTTTGCGGTAGTGAAGAAAGGCACTATTATTATTTTACTCTTGTATGAATATGAACTAATTAAAAAGGCATTTTAACTTTGTACTTGAACAGTGTAAGAAATGAACCGTGAATAAACAAGAACTGTTTATTGTGACTATCTGCTTAGTGTGTCTACCTATGTGGCATTTGGGGGTGCTATGTCTTAAAAATCTAGATGTAAAACTACAGAATATGTTCTGGATTTTCATGGCCAAAACTGCCCTGTAATTATAAAATATAAAGTTTTCATTAATTCACAGAAAATGTGCTTTGTTCTGTGAAACCACACAACAAACAAACAAACAAACATACATTTCTTTAGCAGATAATGAAAAAACAGGAACTTTCTGTTGTTTATCTTGTTTACTTTGGTGTAGCATAAATGACAATTACATTTTCCAAAGCTGTCCAGTGGGCTCGATTGCTCGGCCGATTCAGGTCACCGGGGCCTACGTTTGACATCCCTGGTCTAGCAGCTTATTTTACTTCTCTGATGTCAGTTTTCCACATCGAATCAAACCAAAACTGCTGACCACATTTTTCTCATCACATGTTGGAGAGGAAACCCTCAAGAATGAGTCTGCAAATTAATCACACTGGTCCACAGCCAAAAGGTTTGTGAAATTATAAAATATTTTCCCAGTTTTGGGTCTGAAAGTGAAGAATCTGCAAGGACTCCTCCAGAATGATAAACATAAGTAGCTTAAAGAGAAAAGCTCAAAACAAATTAGACCAACAAAAGATAAAAGGGAAAGTAACTCAGTTGAATCTAAAAAGTGAGGTAAAATAAAATCTGATAGAATACTATATGTAAAGCATATAAAAATCTATGTAAAAATAGAAATGGCTCTCTAGTTTCAATAAAGTGAACGATTACTTCAAATGTTATGAACAGATTAGTGGGAAATCTGTTGATCTGGATCCATTTACTATTTTTCTTCACATCTATCTGCACAACTAACGCTGGCTATTATTTTATTATTTACAGTTTTGTTATAATGACAACAACCAAAAAATTCCCATAAATAAATAACAGCAAAGAGCTTAATGAAATATAAAGAACACACATTATTGACTGGAAAGGTCTCGTGAACCACAAGTATTTTTGTTCTGTGTTGGGGTTTTTTTTGGGGGTTTTTTTTGTTTGTTTTTTTTGTTGTTTTTTTTTTTTTGGGGGGGGGGGTTGTTTCTCCCAAACTAGAGCCCCAATAATCATTAAAGTACAGATATCGCTTACATGAATACTATGAGGTATTAAAGTTCACTATTAATGATCACATGAGCCAATTTGGACATAATTTTGTGCTTTGGAAAGACTTGTGAATGCCTGACCTGTGAATCAGCTGTTTTTTTTTCCTGCAGGTTGATATTGCAGGTGTATTCAGTATATATGTGCAGGTCACAGGCTTGTGGTTCGACTGCTGTTAATTAATTCTTCTGAATTCCCACCACAGCGGCTGCAGCCAGCCAAGCTGCCAAAGAGGGCATCCCTGTCTCCACACTGTGGCACTTCAGCTCCATATTGTTGCATTCAAGTGCTCAAAGTAACCTCTCAACGCTGTAACTGCCCCGTTCGAGTGCACTGGGTCAAAAGCAACAATCACACAAAAAGCCCGTGTGGGCCAGCGTTTATCTTTTCAGAGATCATGTCTAAAGATTAAGCAGCAGAAGATAAATAAATCAAAGGTAAAATGTATTTCTGCTATTATTTTGTTAATATATAGTCAACATTTCAGAAATTTAATCAACGAAAGCTAATTTAAACTCATGTTGCAACTAAAGTGGCCTAAGATAGTAATAATAGTCAATGCTTCGCTCAAATCCCCCCCCCACAAAAAAAAAAGATAAAATAAAATCGGATGCTAATCGTTACATTTCTGACCGCAAGTGAAGGTATCACGACTACAGCAGCAGAAGGCACGCCCCTTTCCCAAGAGGAAGAGGAAACGCCTTCCACAGACTAAACTCCCCTCCCATTGGTCGGTTTTCCGGTTTCTCTCATTCGAACGGCCCCTGATTGGCTGCTGCCGGACGGTCGCCGAAGAAGCGTCTGCTGCTCGCGTTGTGCCAGCTGTCCTCGCGCACTCGGCCAGTGCTGGGCATCGGAGACAGGCTCCTGCTGAGTAGGATCACGGAATCTGCGAACCGGGTAAGAAGACAGAAAATCCCACAAATGAGAGGACGTCAGGCTGTAGAGCTGTTGACCAATCGGTAGATTTTATCACCTATATCATAATTAGAGGCGTTAAAATCCCTCTTTATGCCATTTACATTGGTAACGGCATGGTTATAACGAACATGAATCAGTCTCTGTAAACGAAAATTAGGAAAATTTGGCAGATTTTCTATATTTTGTTACATTTTTGCAAATCAGTGACGTGTTTCTGCGTCTAAATTAAAATGTGAATGAATTAACTCAACGTTTTTCCTTCCAGTAAATGAATGAAAAAACATTAGTTTCGCTTAAATGCGGTGAAAAAATGTAAAATTGGAGGTGATGTCGTGAAAATGGCATCGTGTGGTTTGGGGCGATGAAATATGGGTGAGATGTGAGTCTGTGTGTGTGTGTGTGTGTGTGTGTGTGTGTGTGTGTGTGTGTGTGTGTGTGTGTGTGTGTGTGGCGTGCCATCAGTGCTGCAAGGCTGTGTGTTTGTTATGTAAGTCCCTTTTAGGTTATTCTCCCTTTTCCCAAATTTATTGAGTCACGGTAATGATGATGATGATGATGATGATAATGAAGGGGTCTGTCTGTAGCCGTGGACACTCGCTTGTATGCACGATGTGTGAGCGTGCATGTGCGTGTGCTTGGAGTCCTTGGTGTGTGTGTGGCTGGGTACAAAACGCGAACAGGTGATTTAAAATCCAGGTTGTGCACATTATTTGGTTGGAGGGTATTCCTGGGTGCTGCAAATCCTTCAGGTACACCACATTGATCTGAATAAATCAGAGGGCGTCCTGATTAGATGATGTAACTGCTGCCCTACACATGGTGTGTTTCCATTAGGAATGCAATGGTTGTCTTCTAGTGTGTAACGTGTTAATTAGGGTGGTGGTGTAGCCTTGCCTCAGCTAGGTTTCTGAGTTTGCATGTTCTCCCGGTGTATATAACAGCCCTGTTTTCATGTAGTGGTTTACTTTTCTCTTATTGTGTATGCAGGCAGACTTATACAAACGTCACGCCTACAGGGCTGATATGAAGATGCCAACAGTGATTTATGTACCAGATGGTAAACATCCCTTTTAATGCTCTAATTTTGGGTATTCCTAACATGTAAGGGATTTCCTTGGAGGTTGCTGCTTGGCTCTTATAGGCCCTTACAGTCAGAGCTGTTGGTGTAGTCTTTGGGTTTCGGCTGGTCATGCATTTTCTAATTTTTGTATCCTTGATTGAGGCACAAATGTGCAATTCTGTCAGTTTTTACCACCATTTCAATGTGCAGGAGCTCAAAGTTTCCCACATTAGAGAGGACGATGCTTTAGATGCTTGCAAAGCTGCAAAACTAAACAGCTTCTTCTCTCTGCTTTGTCTGAGTGGCGACACCTATTGTTCAGGATGCTGATCAGTAGAGTGCAGCAAGCACCCCACCCTCTCCTTTGGTGTAACTGGTGATAAGGAGGTGATGATGTCCTTTCGCAGCAACTGAACCTGATCACTTCATTGTCTAGTGGTCAGGTTTCCCGGTTTTCACCCAGGGTTTGACTCCACGTATAGCAACTTGCATATAAGGACAGACATTTCAGGAAGAGGAAGTAAGGAGCAGCTTTATCTAATAATGGCCCTGTTGCACCTCCCACCTGATGAATGATGGTGTTGCCACTGCTAATTATGCACTTTCATAACCTGCTGTTGCTAGTTTGAAAATGTGTTTACTGCCACTTTAATGACAATACCAAAGCTCAGAGATTCACAGTTTATACTGTTGCAACAGTTTTCAAAAGACTAAGCCATTTCTTTTACCTCCAGTTTTGACTTCTTCTCCTGCTATACCAGCTCTGATGTGAGGTATTGTCTGAGTCGCTGCACGATTCAGGAGAATACTGCAGCTAGTACCTGTGCAGAGGTCACTCAGAGATTCTCAGGTTATACAGAGGAAGAAGCTTGAAAAACTGCATAACTAAACACCTTCTGCTCTCTGCTTTGTCTAAGTAGTGACAGCAATATTCAGGATGTTGGTCAGAATTGTGCAAAAAGTACCCGCGACTGGGCAGTGTTGATGTCACTGTGACAACCAATGCAGTGACCAAACTGGTGGCTCTAGCAACAGCTGAATGTCCAAGTAAGTGGCCAACACAAGCAGTCCCATATGTTCTAGTGGATAGGATTCCTGGTTTTCACCCAGGTGGCCTGGATTGACTCCCGGTATAAGAACTTATATTTTATGAACAAACATTTTAATAAGAGGACATAAAGAGCATAGGTTGGTGCATAGGAGTGGAGGAAGGTGCACACAGGTGTACTCCATATTATGCAGAAGGTCTTGATAATCTAAGATCAACTGCAGATGATGTATGGTTTGAGGTGGGACAATGGAAGATGATAAGCTTTTTATTGGGCGGGAACACGATGGAAAGGATTAGAGATGAAGACATCAGAGCGACAGCTCAGGTTAAGTGTTGTGGAGACAAAGTCAGAGAGTGAGGCTGAGATGGTTTGGGCATGTGCAGAGGCAGGGTAGTGGATATACTTGGCAACAGATGCTGAAAAGTGAGTTGCCAGGAAGGTGGAGAGGAAGACCACGGAAAATGTAAACAATTTCACCTTCAAATGAGAAGAGGAAAAACTTGAAGAGTAGGTCAGACCGAAGGTCAAAGGTCAGACAGAAAAAATACTGGCAAAATAAATTTTATGTACAGCTCTTGGCGTTGAGTTTTTTCTAAATGTATAGTGTGATTAGGGGGCGTGTAGAGACAGAGATGCCCCTAATCCTCAGAGTGATGCCCCAGTTACCTTATTGTCTGTTTATCTGTGTGTGATTCAGTAATGCTTATTCATGCATGAACCTGCAGCAGTACACACAATTCTTCTGTGTGTGTGTGTGTGTGTGTGTTTAGTATCTATTCCTATCTTCAAGTGGCTGTAAATTTGCTGCATGTTGGTTGGCTTTTTAAATAGCTCTAGTTTTCACACATGCACATATGCAAGGTAATCCAGACATACACACACACAGAGAGAGAGGGAGACAGAGAGAGAGATACTCCTCCCTGTGGCAAATATCAAGCAAGAGTCATCAGCTGTCTGGTCCTTTCTTCTCACTTACAGCGCACACACACACACACACACACACACACGCACACAAACAGACACGTGAGCATGTCAGCAGCTACCATGTGAAATGTAACAATTTATAAACATTTTTAAACAACTTTTTTCATCCTTTCAGCCGTTTAAGCCAAGTTTGAACTTATTTAGGAAAATGCTAAGTTTAAATTTTTTTATTGGTTATTAATTATTTTAAAGCTCTCACCACACCATTTTTATCAGTCGATAAGAAAAAAATTAAAAGAATCCAGACGACATTTTATGGAATTTAAAATCAAGACAAACTCCCTGTTTACATATTTTCCATTAAAAAACAGTACATTTCCGTACAAAAGAAAGTAAATCATCATAGCATCTCTCCTCATTTTCATCCCTCCTGCTCATACAACTGCAGTAGAAACACTGGTTTAGCTTTTGTACATTTTTATCCAATAAATAATTTGCTTTCTAAATGGTGCCTCCAGTATAAGAGTTCAGGTTTTATTCATGCTTTGAGGTAGTTGTGTCTTTGTATTACCATCGCGTCGTGAATCTGTGTGCCACGCACAGTCCCAACTCACTCAGCCTGCTGCTCCTCATTTATTATTAATTAAGTCCCCCATTAAAAAAAGTTTGGATGGAGAGGGGAGGAAACTAGGGTGTGTCTCGCTGTGTTAGACTGTGTGCAGCTGATGTTAGTGTTTATCTGTGTGTGTGTGTGTGTGTGTGTGTGTGTGTGTGTGTGTGTGTGTGTGTGTGTGTGTGTGCAGAAGCAGCTGGTCCCAGGGTGCGTGAGAAATGCTGCCTGGTGTGTGTGTGTCTGTTATACCTGCTGTGACACAGCAGAAAGTGAACACACACACACACATTGAAGATGTCTAAAATAGATGCTTTTTTTCCTTTGAATGCAGTTAGCGAGGAGCATTAGAGACGACCTCAGTTTCTCCTGACGATTAGGGCTGCTCAATTAATCGAATTTTAATCACGATTACGATCTGGGCTTTCAACGATCATTAAAAATGACTGAGCCGATTATTAGCCCCTCCCTCGTTTATCCGCGATACCTTAAAGGCCGGACCGTGAAAATATTGTCGGGCATAAACCGGTCCGTGGTGCAAAAAAGGTTGGAGACCGCTGATTAAGAGGACCCGAGGGAAGCTCGGAAAGCTAAGCAGAAGTTATTTGGAGAGGAGAGTGACTGCTGTTGGTTGAAAAGAGAGGTAAAAAAAAAAAACTTCAGTGGTGTTGCACACTATTTTATATAATTTTTTTAAAGTCATTGTTAACCCTTTAAAGCCGGTCAGAGCAGCACGCTCTGTTTTGTGTAACTATTTTTAAATCCCTGTAGAACCTGGACCGTGTAAGCTAGCGCAATAATTTGTTTTGCATATGAAACCGGAGGAGTTGTACTTACATCTTATGACATCAGCTTGTCCTAGGTCCTTCCACATAAAGCTTTGCAAAAATTGCATAAAAAGCTCTTGCAGGAACAAAACAGCAAAACACAAAACCAGAAACACGCTTCGCTGATCCGATCAGCTGTTCGTAACACTTCCCACAGTGAAACAGGCGTCAGCGCGAACTATCACATGTCCGCCATTTCCTGGCTGAAACCGGAAGTGACGTCATTTTCGCGGAAAATGTAGTTTTTTTTTAACTTGTAGGCCTTAAAGGCCTATACTGGTCATGTTAGACTTTTCTGAATAGTTTCTGGGATGCTTAGAACTCGAATTGCACTGCTGGAAATAGTTTATTTTGATGCACATGCTGTTTTCTTTGAAAATTTGCATCATAGGATTGTTTTTTTGTTTTTCCTGCAGTATATAAAAATTGCTGTATCGCCAAAATAAAACTATGAAGACACTCAAAATAAGTTTCCTGTTGTTGTAAACTATTTTTTGCAACTTTTT